TGGTGGGGGGGGGGGGGGGGGGGGGGCAGCAGAGGGCCGTGCTTGGGTGTGGGCATTTTTTGCAGGCTTTGTTGTTGGTTCCCTTGGTTTGTAGTGACTCGAAAGCCATGAAAATATATTTACCAGCCTTGCAATGCCCGAGAAGAACGTGGCATTCAATGGAAGACTGTAGTCCATGAGGGGCAGTGCACGACATGGTTCGCTCATGTACCGTTCATAATATAGTTTACAGTGTAGCGGGGCCATGATTTGGAGCGGAGCTAGACGTTTTATATATAACTCCTACCTCCAGAGGCTGTTGGCGTCTGTCAGTCTACTCTGTTGTCTTTCTATGTCTAGAACATGTGTGTGTGTTTGTCTGTTGGTTCGCATTAGGCGTTGCTCAATGCGCTTGTTTTTGAGTTTAGGTCTTCGGCAAGCCGTCATCGAACGGGTTCATCTCCGACAGCACCCGCATGGGGAGTGTTAATTGTCTTTGGTCCGGAAGAGTCTTGTTTCTTGTTTTGTCGGAGATCTTGTTTCACGAGAAAGCTCAACTGGTATCTACCATACCGTGCCATTTCGCCGGCGTAGGACAACCGCGAGGCTGTGTTGGCACGGCCTACGTGGCCGGCCACGTGCATTCATCCGCTGGCTTCCCCCCCAGCTTTTTTTTCCCGCGTTGGTGTACTGGTACGTGACGATGGCAAGGTTAGGTGAGGCCTTCCTAGGCGGCATGTCATTGTACGTGGCAGATGGCGGCGCCAGACCTCTCATCTTTGAGGCCGGCTGGCCCGGGCTCTTGTTGCTTCTTGCTGGACTACTATTGTTGTACCAGCGGCAAAACGGTATTGTCGCTCTTGCTGCTTCTGGCTGTGCTACTGTCGTATCAGCAGGGAAACCGTTAAGTCTACGTTGTTTTTCCCTCTGTCCTCTTGGTTGGGCTACTGCTGTACCAGCAGCAGAACCGGTTAGTCTTGAAAGTTTTTTTTCCTCTGTCCCATCAGGCCATATGTGGGATATTCGGGTGCAGGGTTTGATCATGCCTGCCCCGGTGGTAGCGTGTTTGGCAGTGTTGCGCTTACATTTTGTCGGCTTCGTTGGAAAGGTGTCAGCAGGGGAGGGCTCTGACTTGGACAATTAACAAGTCATGTCCAGATGTTTTCCTGCGCAAGAAATTTTTGGACACGAAGTGGTGGGAGTTTTTTTTTTGGTCTTTCCTGAAATCGTGGTGTTACATGGGCGACCTGTGTTTCTATCTACTGGTATACTTTAGAGTCTTGTTGTAATTGTGGAGTCACCCCCGTCTTATGTTAGAAACTTGTTGAGAATCTTCTTGGAGAAGATCTAGCCTAGGCATATGTAGCGACTTTCAGCGCGGGCCGTGCCTGGTGTTGGCGCGGCAGACGGGGGCAAGGTTAGGGAGACTGGCTTAACATACGAAATGCTACGAACATATCAACCAACGGGGCGCTTGTTAGGCCTCTAGTCAACTCATGTTTTCCTTTTTCCATTCTTTTTGGGTGCTAGGTGTGGCTTGAGTAGTACTAGTGTTCGAGGTCTTCCGAGCATCTTCAGGGATCATTTGAGGTGATTCGCATGAATCCCATACCTCCTAGCACTACATGTAGCGCGAGGCGCCCGTACGAAAAACTGTTTTCAAAAATCGCTTTGTTGGTTATTTTGTTTCGGGAGCTAAAATTAATTTGTAATCCTTGCAGCAGGATTAGAACATGATCTTGGGGGAGCACAAACTATTCCTTGTAGCAGGATTGGCATATGATCTTGGAGTCCTCGTTAAGTTTTAAATTTTGTCATCCTGTTCCTGGTGCTGAGACAAACTCACTCCCGATGTTGAGGATTTCAGATCATGTGCTGCGGGACCCTGAAACCAGCACGTTATTGGCGGTTCTGGTCTCTCCACCTGTTTCCTGAGATTTAAGTCACTTCCACATACATGGCTAACGGGAGCGTGCCACAGAAGTGGCGGGGGCGGGGCACAGCATCCTGGGCAACAGGCATAACGGTGGTGACGATATTCGCGTCAAAAAGACACCTGCCGCACTCAAACACACACGTCTCGCGCAAGACCGCAGTAAGTATGGAGCCCTCGGGGCTCTTGATTGCTCGCGAGCCTGGCCGCACCCTCTACTTGCATCTGTCGTCTATAAGACCACGTCTTCAAAGGCGCTTGCAGTAGTATCAAAGTGGCGGCTAGCCCATCTCACAGAATCCTCAGCATCTCCGAGTCAAATCACACATCTCCCGAGAAGAAAGCAACACACCCGTCCATATCTCTGCTGACGTATATACGATACGATCCCGCTCCCGCTTTTGACCAGCATCTTAGCATACCACGCTTCAATCTCTGACCACACGTGAGCTTAAACGCCACCTCTAGAACAACAACACCGCTCACACGAAAAGTCGGAAAGCTTTTCCATCGATACCCCGTGTAGCACACGGCAACTCGAGGACAACCAGCAGGGAAGAACGCTGCATCCCAACCGTGAAGCGCGTCTCCTTCCCGGGTGTCCCATGAAGTTACTGCGGCTCAAACGACGTACGTTTCCTGTTTCTCCTTGGTGCCACTGGGTACCTTATATTCGGGTCCGATCTGCGAGAACGGTGTGCGGCATTTGGGGGCGCGCGCCGGGTAGGGGGGGGGGTACTCATGTAAACGCCGGCAGTAGTCGTTAGACCATTGACCTCGCATCCCTACAACGCCGGGACGAAGAGTTTCAACGGCCTAGGCTACGTTTCACAAGATGGCCCAGAAGCTGGCCATCATCATCCTGGCGTTTGGGGACGGGAAGGCGGGGACGGGGGGGGGGGGTGATGTCTTA